ATATTTTATATAATTTTATATATTGTATAAATATAATAAATAAATAAATAGTTTATTTTTAATGTTTCAATGTAGCGTGCCATTAAAGAGTTTGCTTTTAGCTGTGGACCACACTTCTAGTTTATCCTTCTCTGATTTCAATCTGAGCACTATTGGAAGATTAGCAGAGTATGTTTTTCTTCTGTTTAGAAATATACATGCATTTTTATTTCGGATCATTCTACTGGAACTGGTACACAGTCCTTCAGAAATTGGTTCTCCAACTTGGGGTGCCCAAAGTTTTGCAGCTGACTGCATAATTAGGAACCTCACCGTGGATCAGCTTTTGATAAAAATACCATTGATTGTACTCAGTAAACTTCAGCAGCATTTTGCTTCTAATTTACTTCCATAAGATATCCAGAAAGAAAGTGCTTCTGCATAAAATAAAATTAAGATTCTGTTAGGAAATAAGAAGGCTTTTATTTATTTTTTTTATAGGAGTATTAGAGTACTGTGATACAGGTTGCTGGCAAGGAAAGCACTAATTTATGTTAATTTTCTTAATGCAGACGAAGATCCTTCTCTGGACAGTTGACCAAAGAGGTGTCTTTGGAGATGGTAGAGCTGAAGGAGAAAGTAGCCCCTTTCCTCCTTCCCCATTCCAGAATTTAGAAGTTGTCACAACTCTGGGTGTTGGTGGCTTCGGAAGGGTTGAGCTTGTAAGATGTTTGTTTTAAACATATTCAAGTAGTTCTCTGTCTTAGATGATTGAATTAACTGCTGAAAAATGTGAAGGATTTTAATATTCCCCATGGCTGTGCCTCAGGCAGAGGTGATTCTATATAAAGCAATGCATAATTAAAAAGTTTTTTCAGAACTTCGATGTTCAAAGAAAAAAATCCATTCTTGTGTGCTTTCATTTCCTGCTGTTAATAGTATCTTCCAGGTCACTAGACATATATGTTCATCAGTTTGTCCATGTGGAGTTTACAGATGCGCCTACCTGGACTGTGTTCCCTGAATTACAGGCCTTTTCCCAAATTTCTCCCTGCACCTGAAGTAATCTCCAGCATCACAAGGTCTATGCTGTTAAAATTGCTTTGGTATGCCCCACAGCAGATATAAACAGTGTGATCTAGCTCTGAGCTGTGTTGACTTTAAAATTTCTAACAATTTGTAATGGCTCTTTTGAGTCATATTCAATAACATGAACAGCTGTGTTTCTGGGATGCAAAGAGCCTCATTAGACTAAAGTCTTAAATTCCACTCTCCTATGGCTGAGTAACAAACATCTGAAAAAACCGCAAACGCTTCTTGTGCAGGCTGCTGAAGGTAATGGTTAATTAAAGAAACTGTGATTTTAGTGAAGTTAATAATCCTTTACAATCCGTCAATTGTTTTATTCTGAGTCATGCTCCACAAAACAGATTTCCACACTGGTTGACTGCCAGCTTGGAAATTCTACAGCATTACCTGAATAATAAGCTAAAAGTGGAGTTCACAGCCAGCTGTGATAGCTGCTTCCTTGGTTTCCTGGAACCCCTGTTTTAATTTCTGCCTTTTTATTGCCTACTGGACAATATTTCAGTGTAATGCAAAATAATTTGTAAACATTCTTCATAAACTGCCTCTGCTTTTTGTTCTTTTGTATTATGCTAGTGTTTGGAAATGTTAAATTTAAATTAGGACCCGTTGTGGTATAAACTCATTTTAAAATATAGTATCTATCCAAACTGCTGTTATTTTGTATACATAAAATGAACACAGGGGCCATTTCTTTTAATTTTACAAGAGGGGACTGGGACACTAAAAAGATCTGATGGTTGACTTAAAATCATACAGAACAGTTCTGCAGAAAATCTGGAATTTGCCCCTTGTTACAGTCATCAATTTCAGTCCTGTGTTATGTTGAAAAAGATGGATATCAGTGTACCTATTGAGAACAGATTGGTAAAACATCCTTTCTTTGACTCACATGTACTTTCAATTTTTATTCACAGATTAAAGTGAAAAATGAGAACATGGCTTTTGCTATGAAGTATATAAAGAAGAAGCATGTAGTGGACACCAAACAACAAGAACATATCTATTCTGAGAAGAAAATCCTTGAGCAGATATGTTCTCCATTCATTGTAAAGTAAGTTGACCATAAGGTTCCCTTAAAAGCTGACCACCAGTTGACCCACTGGACAACATTATTAAGAATGAGGTTTGACATATATGAGTTCTGGAGGAAAAACATTGCAAGTCTTGCATTTTATTTTGCTTTTCCTAAATTGCTGCTGTTTGTCTCCACAGACTATATCACACATTCAAAGATAGTAAGTATGTATACATACTACTGGAGGCTTGCCTTGGAGGGGAATTATGGAGCTTGCTGAGAGACAGGTAACAGCAAAGAAAATGGAACTTTGTCCTTTAAAATCACCAGTCAGCTCCATATGTCTGTTGAGTAGGTTCCATATTCAAGGGCTGTTCTATGAAAAGATGTTTGGTTCAGTTTTCAACCACACGAGTGATATACTGAATGACCGTGCAAAAAAGCCATTAATATTCTGGGTATTATATGTTATCTAGTTAATGAGGGAGGCATTTTTAGAAGTTAATTGTCTGCAAGGATAGTGATTATTTTGTTCCAGAGGCAGCTTTGATGAAGCTACTACCAAGTTCTGTGTTGCGTGTGTGACAGAGGCTTTTGACTATCTACATCACATAGGGATTATCTACAGAGATCTGAAGCCAGAAAATTTACGTTTGGATGCTGAAGGATATATAAAACTGGTAAGATGTAATCCTTTTGTAATGTTATCCTTTTGTGCCTGTATCCTGTCTCCTTGCAGGTGGGATATAAATAGACAGCAAGTAATTATAGTACCAGGATCTCAGAGTTTAATAACCCTTACGCTTCAGTACAAAAAAGGACAGACTACTCATTGCACAGTGAGAAACAAAGGCATTGCAAAGCCATTGCAAGCCACAGACAAACTGGGGATTTGCAGCCTCTGAGAGCTCTTGCCACAGCAAAAATAATTTCTGCCAGCAGCCAGTCTTAATGTAAAGGCAGGAACCACATCTCCCTGGAGCAGAATTACCTCCCTGTTCAGCCTCAAGCAATTATAGGTTCTACATTATCTGTGCATAGAGGGAACACAGTAAAGATCTCCTGCTGTACTTGACTGTGACTGCGAAAAGTGCAAAGAGGATACCCTTCAAAGAGCTTGAAACATCCACTCTGAGGTGTCGTGGTTTAGCCCCAGCCGGCAACTAAGCACCACGCAGCCGCTCACTCACTCCCCCTCCCACAGTGGGACGGGGAAGAGAATTGGGAACAAAACTCGTGGGTTGAGATAAACACGGTTTAATAGGACAGAAAGAAAGAAGGGAACAACAATGATAATACCAACAAAGGAATGTAGAAGAACAAGTGATGCCCAATACAGCAATTGCTCACCGCCCCGTGATCGACAGCCCGTCCCCGAGCAGCGATTTCCGCCCCCCGGCCAACTCCAGTTTATGTACTGGGCATGACGTCGTATGGTAGGGAATATCTCTTTGGTCAGTCTGGGTCAGCTGTCCCGGCTGTGTCCCCTCCCAGCTCCCCGTGCACCCCCAGCCTGCTCGCTGGCAGGCCAGCACAAGAAGCTGGACTGTCCTTGACTGCTCAGCAATAACCCAAAACATCAGCACATTATCAACAGTTTCTCATCCCAAATCCAAAACACAGTCTCACACCAGCTTCTGTGAAGAAAACCAGCTCTATCCTGGCTGAAACCAGGACAGAGGACAATGAGTAACCCACCATTTTCTGTGGTCTGCAAATCTCATGTCCTCAAGGAAAGCATTGGTTGTTCTATCCAAAAGGAAAATAATTTATTAAATTACTCACAAGGATAATGGATCTGTTCTGTAACATTCAGTAGTCCAGTGGAATTACTTCTTTCTGCTTCACAACACCACTGTGTAATTGTTTTAGCTGTAAACTGCCAACTCTGAGATCTTTGTAGGAGGTGAGGAAGCAATTAAGACCTTAAGGCTTCCCAGTGCAAAACAACTCTACTTATGCAACATATGTTGATTTTGAACAGGTTGATTGTGGATTTGCAAAGAAGATCGGATCAGGGCAGAAAACCTGGAGATTTTGTGGAACCCCTGAGTATGTTGCCCCTGAAGTAATTTTGAGTAAAGGCCATGACTTCAGTGTGGATTTTTGGTCCCTTGGAATTCTTGTGTATGACCTCCTTACTGGCAGGTAAGTGCCTCCTACTCCAAGTTCTTACTTTGTTTGTTTTTAGAAACATTTCCAAGGTTATTTTAAAAATAAAGAGTTTGAGTTTTTCCCCACCACTAAACAGGACTGACTTGCAAAATAATACTTCTTTTGTCCTCTTATGCATGTCTTATCTTCCATCATTTCAGAAACGCCACGGACAAAGTGACATATTCTGAATTCTGGTTTATCCATCCAAGGAAAGGGCCAGACACCAGCTATAAGTGGCTGGTGTAGAGCTCCTTTAACTGATGATGATGTTTCCTGTGAGGAACAGCTCACAACAGACTGTTCTTTTCTCCTTTAGTGGGTGACAGTGTACAGTGGGGTGGGTGAACTCTAAGCAGGGCTCATTCTTTGCCTCCATGCACACTTCTGTGACAGCTCTTTGTGAATGCTCAATGGCAGTACAACATGGAAGCTTCTCTGAGTTAGGATGGAGGCGGAGCTAGCTTAGAGGAACACATATGATCATGCGTTTTCCATGGTACCTACATGCAGCTTCTCAGCTTCAAACCTTTCTAATATCTTAAACAGACTGAATGGCTGAAGGTTGTAAAACTAGGAAGGTGAGTTTTAATTCCATATTCTCAAATGTTTGCTTTGATGAGAAATGGCCACATCTGCTCTTGACAGCCATTCCATTTATCAGTGTTGCTTTCTTTTTCTAGTCCACCATTCTGTGGGGCTGATCAAATGATGACATATAATTTGATTCTCAAAGGCATTGAGAAGCTGGATTTTCCTAAAATAATAACAAGACGACCTGAGGATTTGATCCGCAGACTCTGCAGGTAGGAGGGGTGGTTTGTTGCAGGGTCTGGGTGTAGGTAGATTGAGCTATTTAAGATCCAGACTAGAGTGTTGAATTCCTGACAACTTAATTTAAAATTGTTATGCCTAGCATGGTGTATTCTGATTATATTCAGTACACATGCATGCCTCTGAGTGTGTGTCACACCTCTTACTCTGCAAGAGGTATCTACAAATGCAGGCTCTGAGCTTTCTCTGTAGCTGTGAATATTTTCTGAAACACATCTTAAGGAAAACTTATTAAGTGTGGGCTGGGGAAAAAGCCAAAGAATTTTATTTTATTATCAAGAGCAATGTTTTAAAAAAATGCTTCCAGAATTACTTAGGCATATAGCTCCTACAGAAAGCATAGGGCACTTAAAGACTGACTTAAGCCCACTTGAAAATGTGCAAAACGGTGGTATTTCAAAAGGGCCAGCATAACTCAGAAGCATTAGTGCATAGTGGCATGCAGAACCTGTGGCTGGTGACACTGCTGAATTTGAACTCCCAGCTCCAGTGGGATTTCGGCCACAGCACTAGGAATAGTATACACCATACTTTGCACAGCAGAATTGAAAGTATCTTTGTAGCTGCAAATTTTGGTCTGCCTCCTTTTGTAACTCATGACCAGACCCGCTGGCCAAGAAAATAAATGTGTGCAACTAAAATTGAACCAGTTGATTTCCCTCTGCTGCTTCTTACAGTAGAGTGACACTGTTCTGGCTTCCTGGAAGGTTTCTCCATCCTCTCAAAAGAAAGGAGTGGTGAGCGACACCTCATTATGTCTCCTTATGAGACCACATGTTGTAGAGACCATCCCTGTGTAACTGTTAAATGCAAGCAGTTAGGACCTATAAGTGCTCTTTTAAAAAAAATAAGAATATTTTTAAAATTCTTATCCTTAATCTTTTTCTCTTTTTTTAAGGCAAAATCCTACAATCTGAGGAATGGAATTAATGACATCAAGAAGCACAGGTAGATGAAAGAGACTGCCAAGAAGAAAATTTGGGGTTTAATTTGAAAATATTTTTAATATTTTAGAACCCAGTCCGGCTTACACCCATAAAACTCCAGGCACTTTCAGGCAGATTGCGTAAGAGACATCTCTGTTACTATCGAGTATATTTGCAACTACAGCAAGCAATGATATGAACATAAATCCTCAGCATGATTATCTACAAACATCTTGTTGTTTACTGTTTTTGTCGCAGGTTGCTGATGTAGGAGTTTAATTCAGTTCTCGAGAAATCAATGCGAGTTCAGCATCTGCCTTTTAGACTTCCCGACCCTTAAACAGTTGCTTTTTAAGAATGGTAGTTAAGAGCTCCAGAGCAATATTAGGTTGTTGTCCTCTTTCTTCTAATGAAGAAAGTCCTATGTGGATTAAACATTTCCTGCTTTTTCTTCTTATCTGAGTTGTTTCTAAACCCTGCAGTTTGTGCTTGGGAAAAGAAATGCTTTGACTTTTCTGCTTGTCTCCCTCTTCTCATATTGTTAAAAGAGGGTGGAATTCCAAGGTGACGCATACATCTTTGTATGGCTGTGCTTACGCATATATTAACCTGCCTGTCAACTGGCATTTCTACACAGAGGAGATGCAATGTATCTGGTGGTCCTGAAGCTCCCCCTGCTACCACTCCCTTGTATGGCAATGACAGTGCTCGTTTCTTCTTTCTAACAACTGTTTTGTCACATGGACAGAATTTGTCATGAAAAAATTACATAGCCCTTGTTCACATGTTTTTCAGCTGTTAATAGTATAATGACAGAAACCAATCTGTCTTTCTCTCTTGGTCTCTCCCTGTCTCGCATTTCTTTTTAATCAGGTGGTTTTGTGGTTTTAACTGGGATGGTCTGAAAGTGAGGAAATTAACATTACCTTTAAAAAGAGAGGTATTGGCTTTGGCTTTCAATATCATAACGCTTTACTAGTATAAAAGTGTTTGGCTACAAAGGAAGAACTGATGGTGGGAGTGAGATTTTCCAAAGATGCATTTGTATTATTATAGCTCACCCTTTTTAGTGAAAATCAAATGAAAAGAGAGACAGCAAGCGATACATAACTTAAATTGAGTTAAATAATGGAAATATTATTCTGCCTATGTACTTTGCATTTGATTTTCACCATTACTAGAATAAATGGTGTTTGGTCAGGAATGAATACTGAAAAAACATGTTTTCCTCAGTAATGGGCACATTATTAAGAGGCACTGTTCATATTACTGTGTGGAGTATAAATTCCTGTTATTCTCTTACTATTAAATTACAGCACATCCTTGAATAAGTTTTAAATGGCCCTTTTCTCTTTGCCCTAAAATCAGAAAAGATTGAGGGTGAAGAATTTGAAACTCACTTTGAACTCAATTCAAAACAAAAAATAATTCTGAGATCTGCTTTGAGTAGCTACTCCATGAGTGTAGACTTGGTCTTAAACAAATTTGAATCAAAATTGGACACAGTGTGGCCCAGTGTTCTTACTGACTTTATAGAGCTTTGGGTGAAATCTAGGATTTGATAGTATTTGGGGAGTGTTTTTGTATAAGGAGGCTAATGCCATTGTTCTGTTGTACAATTTAATTACTGGAGGTTTATTGTTTAAAGAACAAGAAATTGCATCCCTTGAAAGAAGTCATGCCAGCCTTTCATTCTTCCACTGGTAGCAATAAAAATGATGCATCATCAATGGAGAGCATTTTCAAAAGTTACCTTCTGAAACAACTGTTTGTTTGTGTTTTTAATGTCCTAGTTGTCTGGACCGACTGATTACAGCTACTTTGACAGCTATCCACCTGAAGAGGGAACCCCTCCAGATGAACTTTTAGGCTGGGACAAGGATTTCTGATATTTTTTTTTTCTTCCAGGACATTTGTAGAGACTCATAGGCATCAGTTCTAAACCTGTTCTCTTGTTTCTTGCTTAAAATCAAGTTACACAAGTTTTGTGACAAACACAATTTTCCTTGAAGGACAGAAGACAGTGTAGCAACCAGAACTTGTTTGGATAATGCACCAAAATCTGTGTGCATCTATAACAAGGGCATGCATTCAGTCAGCAGACGTAACCTCAGGGTTTTTCATACACAGTGTCTCTATGAACGTTTTCAGACACTGTACATCAGATGTATGGTTTTGCCATTGGAAATATCACTAGCTGATATTTTGATATTAACAAGGTTACCATATCTCTTTATTTTGAATGGAGAGGATGAGTACTGGAAGCCAATAGCTCTGTGGCATTTGTCAACTGCTGACACTATAGGCATTTATTTTTCATTTTATCTTATGTCTGCTGTGTGTTTCACTTTTCCCATAATAGCCAGTATTGCATTGATCATAAGCATGTAGAAAAGAGACTTTTACTGAAAGGTTGATTTGATTTGATGCTGCAGCTAAAAGGATATCGCCGAGGAAGCTGCCTCTCTGTCAGTCTAGTTTTGCACCAGGTTGAATATGTGAGACAGGCTATAACAGGTCAAATGAAAATCCAGCAGGAAACAAGGTATATACACAGTAGAAGTTGCCTGGAGAAGCAGACTGTGGTATGTATTTCCTGTACTGCTTCAAAGAGCTGTGTTCATTTCTTAAAATGTTTTTCTTTTATGTAGTGTGAAGATAAAGTAAATGCTTTTTGTTGATCTTACAGGAAAATAATATGTAAATATAGAATCATAGTTTTTCCTTCAAAAGTATTTTCAGATTGTTTTCATTGATATTTTGCTGAAATGCTGTATCTGTTCACATCAGTGCTACAACTCTCACCCATTTCAATGTTCCAGTTGGTATCACTAGATGTCAATTATCATTTCAAATCATATTTCATCAGACAACTTAATAACATATAATTATTCTGAGTTCTACTCGTATAGGAGGTGAGAATAAGAGAGCAAAAACTTGATTCCTGTTCTCCTGTAAGGAATTCCATTCACAAGTTTAAATATTCTGTTTGCTTTTGACCACCTTCCTTTCTCTCTAATGGCTACTAATGATGTTTAGAAAGGCAAGACATTCCAAGCTCCTCTCAAAAACAATATAAAATATAATTGCAATTTGTAGGCAAATTTTTCAAGCAAATTTTCAAGCTCTTTACCTACTTCTGGTACAGTTTACTAAACAAATTGCTAACCAGAACTCTCAAACAATGTTGAGTGGGCGAGTCCAGCAAACAGCTGATAGTCAGGAGGCTGGAGCACGTGCCCTGTGAGGAAAGGCTGAGGGTGCCTGGGCTTGTTCAGCCTGGAGGAGGGAAAGCTTTGCAAGGATCTTACAGCAGCCTGCCAGTGCCTATAGGGAGGTTATTGACAGGCCCTTTATGGAGCTGCTCAGGAAGGAGGGGTCATAAATTGGAACAGAAGAGTTGCCGACCTGACAAAAGGAAGAAAGTGTTTCCCGAGTGAAGCAGGATCCCAGGTAGGTTCTGCAAACTCCTTCCTTGCAGGTTTTCAAGACAGGACCAAGACAGAACCTCAAGGAGTCCAATCTGAATTCAGTGTTGGCCCTGCCAAAGCTAGAGACCTCCAAGGATCCCTTCCAGCCTGAGTGATTCTGTGATTCTAGGAATTATTTTTATCTGTCAGCCATTTGTATGATAAGAATATAGCACAATGCACGTTCCCATATGAGTTTATATATGCTTGGGTTTTGCCACTCAACCTGTAAATTGTTAGAACAGGGGAATTAGTTTGAAATGTTGATTAGATCATAAATGCAGTTGGATGTTGTGCATTCGTGGTTTATACAAAAAAATTCTGTTGCTCTCTGTTATGAACCATGACTGCTATAGAAACAGGGATGTTACTGGCTGTCATGCTGGGTTTATGGGATCAATGCATCTGCAACCCCTGCTGGGATTTGTTTCAGCTCCCACTGAGACAAAATCCAATCTAAATTTCAATATTGAAGCTGCCACAGCACACTGCATTTCACATGCTGGATGGAAAACCTCCCAGGCAACTTGTAACTTGTGCTCAGGGTTTAGTTATCCACGACTGCTGGCTAGACTTTCTAGCTGCTGGTCATGGCTTATACCGACTGGGTGAGGGAGTGACTGCCATAGGGAGCAGTTCCATGGTTTGTCCATGGTTACAATTATTTTTTACTGCTGGGTGGCCATCACTTTGACAGCAAATCAATTTAAATATTTTGCATAACATTCAGTCCAAATAAAGGCAGTAGAATATTTTCCACTGAATTTAACGAAGGTTGGATTGAGCCCTTGGAGGAAGACACTACATAGTTAGCTGGTTTTTTTTCCCTGCCTGGTTGTAAGCTATTGTGGAAACTTGCAGCCAGCAAAGCCTGTGCAAAACGATGGTAAGCATACACTGTCAGAGAGGGTGGAGCAGAGGCTGTAAGCTGGCAACACAGATGCTTTAGAAACTTGCAACTAACTCTGTTTAGAAATACCAAACACCAGATTTTCTTTTCAGGATTTAGACAAGCACTAGACATTAGGTATGTGTGGTTTTCTGTGTGTCTGTTTGTCTTTCTCTCATAAATATTTTTATTACAGTCAAAATAATATTGTGCCAAGTTTTGTAAAAAGCTTTTGAATGTATTTTTCCATTGTATTTATAGGTAATTTTCTTCTATATATATATATACACAAATAATATATAATATAGTAATTATAATAATATAAAATAATAA